AGTGGAATAAAAAAGCTCAATAATCAAAAATAATTCTTGATCCATATGTATGATGTCATACATGCGGGGACAAGACTTGTGGGAAGTTGTTGACGAAGTGAGGTTATGTATGTAACTATATGATGATACAAATGACACGTCTGCGAAAATAGAAGATTAAAACGGGTAAAACACTGTTTACTTTAAAGATAACGGTTGAAGAAGATATGCTTAGAGCACATTCGAGATGCCAAAACCCCTAAAGAAGCTTGGGATACATTAACCAAGTCTGTTTACAAAGAAGAATGCTACGAGACTCCAATATTTTAAAAACCGAGTTATTGTCGGTAACCCAACAGGACATGACAATTGCTCAATATTTTCACAAGGTGAAGTCCTTATGCCAGGAAATTTCTAGGTTAGATCCATGAGCTCCAATTGAAGAAACCAAAATGAAGAGGATAATCATTCATGGTTTGAGACACGACTATAAAGGCTTTGTTGTTGTAGTACAATGATGGAAAAATCAACCGTCACTTATTGAGTTCAAGAATTTGCTTGCTGCTTAAAAAGCTTTAGCCAAGTAAATAGGTGGAATTTAATTAAAAAGTGAAGAAAGACACTTTATGTTAATAGAAGCAAGTGGAATTCCAAGCGAGTATATTGTTGGTGGATCAAAAAGAAATGAAGATAAAGTAAAAAAAAATCATTAAGATGAAGGAAGCATTTGTGTAGAGGGAGCATCGAGGCACCATGGCAACAATAAGAAGTTTGAAGGGAAGTACCACAACTACAAAAAAAGGGTCACTTGGCAAAGTTTTATCGGTCAAAGAAAAAGCCTATTAAAAGTAATGCTTGCTACTTCTAAAAGTATTGAAGAATGGAATGCGGAGGCACTCTTTGTTATAAAAAAAGGAGTTAGCTCTCACTGCAATAACATCCAAACAAATTGATTATGAGAAGAATTTGGATCGTTGGTTACATGCTGCTCAAACCATATGACGAGTGACAAAGATAAGTTGTAAAACTTGATGAAATACAAAGGAAGCCATGTTATGGTGACAACGAATAACTCAAAGCTACTAATTGCTCACATTGGTGATACGATAGTCTCTTCCCAATGTAATGCTAATGAAGTATATCTCCAAAATGTCTACCATTGACCGGGTATGATGAAAAAACTACTTTCGATAGCATAGCTAACATCTTCGAGTCACTTTGTTTTGTTTGGCCCACAAGATGTGAAGGTGTATCGAAACCTTCGGACTTCAAAAAAGCCAATGATGGAGGGACGAAGACTAAAGTCGGTTTATATGATGTCAACAGAGATTGCATATGTAAACAAGACTAGGAAGAATGAAATAGTAGATTTATGGCACATACGATTAAGTCACGTCGGCTATTCTAAGCTAGATGTGATGATAAAGAAGTCGATGTTGAAAGGGATTCCTCGACTTGAAATGAGAACCGACACAATTTATGCGAGTCGTCAATATGAAAAAGCTCATTACCTATCATATAACGAGTCCAAATTTTAAGCAAAGGAATTATTAGAGTTAATACATTCGATGTGTTTGAACCTATCAAACAACCATCAATTTATGGAATAAAGTATATGGTGACTTTTATCAACGACTTCTCGAGGCATGTATGGGTTTATTTTATGAAGGCAAAATCGACATATTTTCAAAGTTTAAGGAGTTCAAAAAAATAGTTGAAGCAGAAGTTGATAAGAGCATTTCGTTGCTTGCGTAATGACAATGAAGGAGAATACGATCTAGATGAATTTAATCGGTACCTTCGAGAATATCGAATACATTACCAATTCACATGTGGCAACACACTGCGGTAAAACGATATAGCTAAAAGAAAGAACAAGCATCTAACGAAGTTTATCGAAGTATGCTTCATGCAAAGAATGTGCTTAGGAAGGTTTTGGGCGAAGCAATGAATATGGTAGCCTTTGTGATCAATCGACTTCCTTAACAAAGGTTATACTTTCTTTCACCTTTTGAAGAATTATGGAATGTGAAACCTACTATTAGTTATTTTTAAGTTTTTGGATGTGTTTACTTTATATTTATACCTAACCGATTACGTAGCAAAATGGCTAAGAAGGGTGTTAGGTGTATTTTTGTAGGATATGACGATCAAAGAAAAGGGTAGAGATGTTGTGATCCTATAATCGAAAAATGTTACACATCCCGAAATGTGGTGTTTGATGAAGCCTCTTCATGGTGGTCCTCAACCAAAGAGGTGGTGCAATCTTCTCAAATTTAGTTGAGAATAGTTGAAGCCGAAGAAGCGAGATGATGATATTACGGGAGGCGTAGCTCAAAATCCTTGGCAAACTAGTGTGCATCATCAACCAAGTAAAGAACGTGACCTTGTGTCAAAAAGCCAAATCCCAAATATGCTTAATGTTGCCATAGTAGAAGAAATGGATGTCAAAGAACCGGAGACATTTGAGGAAGCATCTCAAAATCTAAAGTGGATCGAAGCCATGGAAGAAGAAATTATTGCACTAGAACGAAATCGGACTTGGGAGATTGTGCCAAAGCTAGGAGATGTGAAACCTATTTCTCATAAATGGGTTTATAAAATAAAACATCGCACATATGGTTTGATTAAAAGACACGAGGCTCATTTGGTAGCTCGAGGGTTTTCTCAATAATATGGACTAGACAATAATGAAGCGTTTAGTCCATTTCCAAAGCTTATAACTATACAAGTCTTACCGGTACTTGCAGCTAGTAAAGGTTGAAACTTATGACGAGATGGATGTGAAGAATGCATTTACGCATGGAGAATTGGATTGGGAGATCCGTATGACTCAATCTATGGGTTTTCGAATCAAGATCATCCCGAATATATGTGTAAGCTTCGAAAGGCGCTCTATGGATTAAAGCGAAGCACCAAAGGCTTGGTATGGTAAGATTGTTGAATTTTTTATTCATAATGGTTATTCTATGACACATATCGATTCTAGTTTGTTTGTCAAAGTTAATGAAAGGAAACTAGTTATTGTGCTTAGTGTATGTGGATGATTTAATCATAACATGCAATCGTGAAGAAGAAATCCACCAAACAAAGAAGAATTTATCAATTCTTTTTTAAATGAAAGAGCTTGGACAATCGAAGCACTTTTTTGGTCGAGGGGTTAATCGTCCTCGAGGAGGAATATTTCTCCATTAGCAAAAGTATTCTAAAGAATTGTTGAAAAATTTTGGAATGCTTGAGTGCGAAGCCGATTTGGACTCCAATAGAGCCAAATGCCAAAATGTGTGCTCATGAAGGGAGAAATTTGGAAGATGCAACAATGTATCAACAACTAGTGGGTATTTTGATCTACCTAACTTTAACTAGACCCGATATATCATATGCAGTTGGTGTGATGAGTCGGTACATGCAAAATCCAAATAAGCATCATTTGGAAGCAATACGATGAATTTTGAGATATATGAAGAGTACACTGTAGACTATGGTGTCTTGTATAAGAAAGGTGGAGATTGTAAGCTAGTTGGTTATTGTGATGCCGACTATGCGAGTGATCATGATACCCAACGTTCAATTACTAGGTATGTGTTTATGCTTGGATCGGGAGCAATTTCTTGGTGTAGCAAAAGGCGACTAATCGTGTCTTTATCAACAACAAAAGTATAATACCGACCGCAGATACGTGCGACTCAAGAGAGTACTTGGCTTATGCAATTGTTTAAGAACTTGTATCAATCAATAGATTCTGCACTTCCTCTATATTGTGATAACCGATTAGCAATACGGTTGGCGAGAGAATCCAATTTGTCATGCTAGAACTAAACATGTGGATGTGCATTATCACTTTATCAAGGAAAAAGTTTTAGAAGAAAAGATTGAGCTAAGGCATATTAAGACAAAGGATCATATTGTAGATTTGTTCATAAAAGGCCTAAATGGAAACAAGCTTGAAAATCTTCGTCATCGGCTCGGCATGATAAAAAGAATAGAAGGCTCGGTGTTGAGGGGGAGTGTTAAATACAATAGCAGACACATGGAACAATTTTATTTGAAGACTTGGTCTATTATTATTTTGTAAGTTATTTAAGTATTCCTATTCACATGCTAAGTTAATTTGTTACCTAGTCCACTACTTGCTTTCCTATTTCTTAGTTGAATTAGTTGAGTCAATAGTCTCTTGCTGAAAAGAAACAGAATCGGTAGCTAAGTTTATTTCTTGTATGTTTATATAAGGCTACGTAATTGGATCAAATAAAAACATCTCTTTCACATAATTAGTTTTGTCCTTGTGTGAAATACTTTTTTTCTTTGCTTTCTACAAATTATTATTTAATTAGAAAGAGAAATGAAAAAATATTTGAGATTTTGAAATGAAAAGGTTGAAAAATTTGAAAAACCATTGCCAGATTTGATTTATAGGAAAGAAAAAAACATTGTGTATGAGAGAGAGAAAGACATTCTAGGTTTCAATGAATTACATGTTTTTAGAGAAGAATTGAAGATTTGACAATCACCCATTGGTTGTAGAGATGATATTATCTCCATCTAACAAATAAAAGAGTTAATAACGTAAAACAAAATAAACAAAGAATAAAAGGGCATGATATCATCAACTTGCAATGGAAAAAAGAAAAGTCTGAGAAGGTACTAACAATCAGTAAATCTAATAACCAAGAACGAAGAAGATCATGTTCAATAAAAAATAAATAGCAGAGACAAAAAAAAAAAAAAAAAATTGAATACAAATAGTCTTGGTTCTTTGTGAACATGAGTCACAGTACACAGTATGTGAACAGTAAAATGTCTACTTTTTTTATTTATTATTTTTACTCATTTAATGGAAAAGATAGGAGTATCATGAGGTGTCCACATGCTAACATGATGATTTTTTATTGATTTTTGTTGCATAGTTTAATTATTTAGAAGTCTATATATTGTTACCGGAAAGGATCACCTAGTATTACATTTCCCTTCCATAGTTATTTAACCCTAACAATCACAAAGCACTTCGCTCAACAGCTACAATGCCACCTCCCGAACAATCTCTTTCTCTTCCCCGATACTTGCAAGAAAATGAAATCTCCGAAGAATTTAGAGACTTGATAGTCTCAATTCCCACTGAAAAAGGCTGGGTTGCAAATCATTTCCATCAATACCAGGGTTTTTGGCACACAACTAGGCAACTTCAAGGGCTTCTAGCTTGCCAAAAACACTTTCAAGCCGAAGATGGTGATATCTATCTAGTCACCACTCCTAAATCAGGCTCTACTTGGTTAAAGGCAATGATGTTTGCCTTGGTACACCGGGTTTCCTTTCCTGACCCTAAACAACATCCTCTGCTCACTAACAACCCTCATGCTCTTGTGCCTTTCTTGGAACATGAATACATTGGTAAAGAGTTTCTTGACTTCACAAACTTCACCTTTCCTAGGCTGTTTTCAACTCATTTGCCACTCGTGTCCCTTCCCAAATCTGTGAACTCCTCAAATTGCAAGCTTGTTTACTTGTGTAGGAATCCTAAGGACACTTTTGTGTCCTTGTGGCACTTCACTAACAAGTTGAGACCCGAAAATTGGGGTGCTAATTCACTTGAAGAGACTTTCGATAAATTTTGTCGGGGAGTGAGTTTGTACGGGCCATTTTGGGATCATGTTTTGGGCTACTGGAAGGAGAGCTTGGAAAGGTCTCAAAGGGTATTTTTCTTGAGGTATGAGGAAATGAAAAATGAGCCCAAAATTCACTTGAGGAGACTATCTGAATTCTTGGGGTGTCCATTTTCCCTTGAAGAAGAGAACAATGGTGTCTTGGACGAAATTTTGGAGTTGTGTAGTTTTGAAAACTTGAGCAATTTAGAAGTGAACAAGATCGGAATGTTGCCTTCAGGAGAGAAGCATGAAGCCTTTTTTCGGCGAGGCGAAGTCGGTGACTCCATGAATTTTCTCACGGCTGAGATGTTAGAAAAGATGGACATGATCACTGAACAGAAGTTTCATGGTTCTGGTTTAAAGTTGTAGTTGTTCTGAAGGCTTTACCGTTTTTCTTTACTCTTTTATCAACAGCATGCATCTTTTGTTGTCAAGCTAAGGTCACTATCTAGCTGGTTGTCGTTTATCATGTTTTGCATTATTGTCAATTAAAACGGTCGGAGTGCTTAATTTCAGGGACTTTGAACGCTACTGTGTTTTTGAAATAGGTGTGAGTAGATCAACAGATCGACTATCAAAGCGGTTTATATGCCGATGTATCATGTTAACCTGTTGATAGCTACGGCAACAAACTTATCAATGTATCCTTTGTCAATACTCGATGGTGTTGGTGGCCTGTGTTCTGTAATCATATGAGCCTACTACCAGTTATTATCATGAACGAAGTAAGTTGATTTTTACAATTTCTCATTGTAAAGGATATGTGATATTTTAAATGAGAAATGTATCAGTATCAATTGTCCAGATATAGTCACTCATTTCGTAGTGGAATGAGTCATTGCAGTGTTTAAGTTATGGTTATTAATTATAAATGATTGGCAAACGCTGATGGTTAGATATGCAATTACTCTTGAGCAACATGCATTAAAACGTTTGGTGATAATGACATTGGAAAATATATAACTATATACATAGTTCAATTTTTTAGTGAATTGAATTATTAGTGAATGATTAGGTATGCTATTCCAAATATAATAATAATAATAATAATAATAAAAGGAAAACGTTTGGTGAGAATGACATTGGAAAGTATATAACTATAAACATAGTTCAATTTTTTAGAGAATTGAATTATTAGTGAATGATTAGGTATGCTATTCCAAATATAATAATAATAATAATAATAATAAAAGGAAAAAAATTGAAATACAAAGAAGAAGAAGAAGAAATAAAGTATCCTTTTCAGGCGAATTAGTTGATTTGTGCTTGTATCGTTTTAGCAACTCCAAGCTCATTCCAAGTGAAAGATTTGACAGTTCTATTCACAATAATGGGCTTACCCTCAGTTACAGATTTCACAACCCGAGTAGAAATAAACGAGAATCTGTTAAACATCATAAAATTTTTGTTTTAAGTTTGAAAAGAAGGAAAAAAAAAGACGGGATGAGGCATGACAATCTTACAGTATCGTTGTTTCGTGTACTGTAAACCTATTTTTGAAACAATTTACAAATCAATCTACGTATGAATCAAGATTAAAAATTTCCAATCTTGTATGCTTTGCTCACCTGTAGGTCGAGGTTGTTTTGTTTCACGGGCTACAGCTCCATCAGATTAGCTAGGAAAGAGAACTGGACGAGCATCCCTTACTAGCCCAATTCTCAAATCATTTTAAGATCCTGGTGTAAAAGCCCACAACTCAGATCTTGTACTTTACAGCCAAAAAATGCTGAATTGAGCAGTCTAAAGTGGATGGATTTAATTCCCAGAGCCCAATAATGGAGCATTCAGCCCAGGCAGTTCCCTCTAAAATAAACTGTTTGCAAACACAGCCAGCTAATCTTTGCCTGCCTTCCCTATCCCAAAATCGGAGCATCCTTCACTGCATATGTGTGCATTACAGCCGCAACATTATGGAAGCCCTTCTTCCACCACCGCTAACCGCCATGGTTGCAGTCTCCGCCTAATTCAACCGCCCATACTTATGTTGAACTTTAGTGACCACTGCCAAATATCAATCTCGGTCAAATATGCTAAATTTTATCGATTTTACAAGATAAAAACTAAAACAGCAATACTTCATTTTTGGAAGATTCAGTGTATTTTAGGATTAATTCAAAATAAAATAACATGCTATACGCATGAAAAATATTTTGTAAGAGATGTTGGACCGTCCATAGAAAATATATATTGTCATTTGTTAGATACAATCCCCGGCTAGACCCCCTTTTACATGGAGATGTTTCCTGATTCTAGTTGGAGTTTAACATAATAAATAATATTTATGCAACAACAAAGTGAGGAAAGGCATAGCAGCCATGAAAACAGGCCAAAATGAGTAGGACAAACCCAACAGAGTGATAATTTAGGTCATCTGAAAGGAGCTAGGATGGCGGGGCGGCGCAACAAAACTAGTGATGGCATCATGCATGAATGTGTTCATGTTATGTTGTTCATATTTTTATTTTTTAATTCAATGAGTAAGATATTTTTGGACTTATGTACATATCAATAGAAACTGAATTCTTTTTTAAAAAAAAATACTACATTTATTGAAATAAATTTCTTTAAACTTTAATTATAAAATTTGAACTTGAAAACTTCATTAATTATTAAACCAATCTTTTGAGATTATGCTGTTCACATTAATTTATCACTTACGATAATTTGTTTTAAGTCTTAGGATCTCCAGCTAGCTAATAAACTGCCTCATTAATTAGATGGAAAGTGAAAGTGTAAGTTGGCAGGGTATGAAATTCAGCACTCAACCTTATATATTTGCCTTGAATCAAAATAAAATTATAAAAATAACAAAAGAAGTACCAGTTTTTAATTTGGAACTTGTTTGATTTTCTCGTGATTAATTAGTCATTAAATAATATTTTGATTAATTTTCGGCAGCTAAACAAATATAATTCTAAGAGCCAGTACGTAATTGATTCTAAAGGCAGCATGAAATTAAAGTTACGCCGTGTGTTAAGAAACTTTGATGACTAGTTGGCTGAACAATTTTGTGGGAATATGGCCAAAAAAAAAATGGTAAATTTAATATTCGAGAAACACAGGTATTTAATTCATTACTTATAATATTGAGCAAATTAATGTTAATTTATATACAAAAAATAATTCCCAGAAATACTTTCTGATAGAAGAAATATCATTTATTGGATGATTGGGTATTATTATTTCTTGTAAGATTTCAGCATTTCCTTCTTGCTTTTTTTTTTTTTTTTTTTTTTGCTGTTGGTTTTGAACACACCATTGCGAAACCATCCCCATCGAGTTATTTGAACTTCCTTATATATTTTGCCGTCTTACAAATATATTTCAAAATATTGAAACTAAATTATTAATTTTTAAAATTATAAAAAATTAATTAATTTATTTCTTGAAATGAGAGGGATTAATTTATAATTTACTCGTAGTAATAATAATAATAATAATAATAATAAAATCAATTCACCTTGCGAGCTTGAAGACTAATTACTTGCAAGCCAATTACTAAAGCATATTGATTCTAAAAAAACAATTCAATCTAAGTAAATCCCTTTGTTTTGTTTAAGTTTTAACATCAGTAAATATTGCTCAATTGGAAAAACATCCTCAAACAATGCTTATATATAAGCAAGTCCTTTATTTCTGATAATTCATGTTCCATTTGAATATGGAAATGGAAATACAAAAACAGATCTAACCACAATTATTTTCCATTTGAATTAGACTAATAGCCTTTAATTATAAGTTAACCTCCTACGTTTATATATATATATAATTTAATCCTCTAAGTTTGAGAAAAACAATAAAAGCCCATTAATAACATGCAATAGAGGATTAATTTATGGTATTCTCCTCTCTTCGATTAATCTTGAATTCCAAAATATCCTTTCTAAAAAAAAGCACTTATGCTTTAGTTATTCCTTTTTTTTAATAATAAAAAAAGAAAGCGTGGTTTGGTTACTGAAGGAGCAAAGAGTTGCAATTTCTACTTTGACATCAACCTATCTTTACCTAATTAAACTTTTTGCCCAACCGTCATCATGAAGTGTGTGAATTAATTCAACGTGTAAATGATAGTCCAATTTCTATTATCTCTAGCTAGGCAGTCCACATCAACCCGTTATTCTATTATTGAATGCTAATTTATTGAAAACGAGGGCTGTATATTGAAGAGTCGGTATAATCATGATATGAAGTTATGAAATCCATTATTATTGTACCCAATTTGATAAATAAAAAAATCAGAGGCAGATCTCTGGATCTTACCGACCCTTCAACTAACAAATCTAACATGACTCTTTAGAAGGATCTTAAAAGGACGAAGGTAGGAGGCACATAGCACACTTCCAATAATGTTATCGTGACCCGAAGTAGCTTTCGTACCAAGCAAAGCAACATCTAAGAAAAAATGAAAGTTAGTTGGAGCAATATTGGCAGGTTCGTTAGTTGCTCAAATCTGGTGAGTCAGAAGCTGTGTATCTCACGAGGATAAAAACGGTGGGTCATTTTACAAATACATGGGCTGTTGCCCAATTACTTCTCGTGCCGGTTGCTTTCCTTCCTGCTTTTAAAATTACCCAACAACTCTAATTAATGACTGTTTGTGTCCATTACCTTTATACTTCCTTCGGCTTAAAGATTTTTGGTTTGGTGGGAATTAATTCATGAAACTAATAATTATAATCTTTTCGTTTTAAAGGACGGATCTTGGATGTGACTACATATATTTCAAGCCCCTTTCACGTTTTCGTAGTAATTAAACTGCTCGCTTCCCTTTAATTATGTTTTTTTTTTTTGACGTTAGAAAATAGAGAAATTATTGTTGATATTAAATTACTAATCAATCAATTGTGTAAAGATGGATCATACTATGATTGTACGAAAAGAATTCATTTTTTATTTTTTATTGAGAGAAGAGAGAAAATGATTTTCTTACCTAATTCACGTTTTTTTTAATCATGATAAAATGAAGTATCCTTGTATTAGTATAATTGATTGATCAATAGTTTAAAGCGTTGGATTAAATTCATCTAAAAATAATAAATACAGTTATGAATTTTAAACATGAATTCATTTCATAGTTTTGTTTTTCTGATAATTGAAATCATTTCATTTATCAAGACAATCAAAATATCTCTGTCTGAATTTGTATATCTCTTTTAACGGGTCGTTCTTATGATCATGCCAAAACAAAAAATACATACTGTTGCATAAAATGTGGCACCCAATCATTCATGCATGGATATAAACAAATTAAGTTTATAGATCTATCAATACAAATAAATTTCTTTGTATAATCCATAAATATGGTTTACTTATTTTATACACTATCTCCAAATCTACGCTTGGATTATCATCAAATTCTGCTCAAT